TAAGCATTCCTCCCTAGGTGGGGCCTATAATCTTTATGCTCTTTTCAGTGCCAACTTTTACTTTTGGTCAATTCTGCTGAGACTGCCTATTAGATTACAGAAGCTGCACGCAGCAAGCTGAGTTAACAGCCAACTCCCCCCCACTGTGATTGCACTGCTTTCTCTAGGCAGCACAGCTGAGCTGAAGTGTCAAGTGAGAGATTATTCTAGCAAGAACTGCTCCGCAGTAAGACAATACCAAACCCATTACCTAATGCAATAAAACCTGTTAAGTTGGCTGTTGTGTCCTGGAAGCACCATTCACCCTCACCAGGAGAGGCTTCTCTTACAGGCTAAGAGAATTTGCCATGTCTAAGAAAGGCAGATGTTTCTCACATGCATTAGCACAAACTCCTTGGTATTACTCTCCTTGCACCTGAATCCTAACTTTTACTGGATGTTCTGAGAATGGTCCCTTTTTGGCATTAACTCTGATCACTTACACAGGTAAGAGAATATAGCACTGTTTCTATTAAGCCAGCAGGAACAGGGTTCAATTAATGTGCTGCTTAGGGCAAGGTGAGGAGAGACTGTTGTATTTGCTTTTGTAATTGTGAGTGTTCTCTGCCATTCTCCAAGCAAGTACATGGCAGTAACACTGCTAATGTAAGCTCTCAAAGGCTTACATTATATATGTACATACATACTTTATGGCAGCTGGTGTTTTACCCAGAAGCAGAATTCCCACTTCACTTAGACCATGCTCAAGTTAACAGTTTAAGCTTAGCTACTCTGTTTAATTGCTGCTGCCACCTTCTGTCCTCCTTTCCATTTCCTCTCCCCATTCAATTCTTTTGAGCACTGGCTCTTGCCCAGCTACACAAGAGGCAGTTTCAGTGAACTTGAGCTGACTTTTTGGATGGATTGCTTCAGGTCCCTCAATTAGTTTATCAGATGCCAAGGGAATGGGGAAGGTGGGAGGGAGAAGACAGGACTAGACAAGACCAGAAAGCTTAACATATAGAACCTCAAAAGCACCTATTTAGATATCCAAACTGGGAACTTCCCAATTATTTATCAGAATCCACCATTTGAATCAGACATTGCTGATTACCAATTCTCGCCAATTTTTTGGATTACCAAAGAACCAGAATTTTTCAAGATCAGAGCTCACTTCTATTTTCAAAATTTGTCCTAAATTATTTAAGTCTAAACGGCCAACTTCTTAATTCTGTCCACTATAAAAACACAGTGACTGCTTTACTATTATTATTGCAATCCCCACTGAAATAATTCCCTGACTCCTGAATGCACATTGTCTTAATTCTCTCAACTGTGCAAGTCTCACCTGACTCAGGAGAGCCTGATTTTGTTTTAAAGAGTCACAGCCCCAGTTACAGAAAGATTTAAGTCACTTAGAGATATAATACCTGAGAAACTCATTAATCCCTTGCTCACTGAAGGATCCTTTCAGAAGGGCAAATTTCATCTTCCGAGCATTAATAGCTGCCATCGCTGGATACCCAAAGCCTCCAATCCCCAAAGAGCTCTCAAGATCTGACTGAGCACCCGCTTCTGTCCACAGCCACCTTCAGGAAATGATAAAATAGAAAATGAATAATTACAATGAGCACTACAATCATTTAAGTCATACATACCCCAAAACCCTGTAGAGCTCAAGCTGGGCTCTTAACTGCCCTTGACAGTGTCAGCTGTTCCTGAAGTCAGCAGGATCCCAATCTTCAACCATGTAACATAAGAAAGCCCCTCCCTGACAGCACCCCTACGCCAGCCCCATGCTGATAGCCA